AGTGATAGTGAAAATTTTATATATCCCAATATCGATTCAGTTAAAATCACGATTGAAGGGTCACCAAATTGTATTTTCGCCCAAGGTATGGATAAAAAAGTATTTTATGAAGAAGCAAGACGGTTTTTTGATAAAACTAACCCAATAGATTGCTTCATGACAATTGAAAAATTCTATAAGGATAAATTTGCATTAGTTATCGATCTACGCACCTTTCAAGAAAAAAATATTGCTGGTAATGGTAAAAAAATCATTAATACTCAAAATGGTGTTTTGCTTGAAATTAAAAAAAGAGCATATACAAAAGATTTAAACTGTTACATCTATGTTATTAGTGATGCTCTTGTTCAATTTGTTAATAATGATTTACAAAGTATTCAATACTAGAATAACCAGTAATATATAAATGAACACACCCTTTAATATGATTATTTTAGGCATGACTGCTTGTGGTAAAACCTTCTTTCTTTTAAGAATGTTAGAAGAAAACTTTAATAGACATTTTGATTACATTATTTTATTATGTCCAACTCTCTCATATAATAAAACCTACCAAGAATGGAAATATATAAATGATTCTGATTTAATTAAAGTAGAATGTGACCAAGATCAGGTAGATATTTTTTTAAAATATGTTAGTGATGTATATAAAGGTACAAATAGTCTTATTATACTTGATGACTGTGGAGTTGCTTAGATGTTAAAATAGGACATCTGAATTAGTTCGATTAGCATTCAGTGCTCGTCATTATGGACTTTCTACTATTGTGATTACACAGCAATTGACAAGTATTTCTAAACCTTATCGTGAAAATATAAGTTATTTAATTACATTTTATAATACAAACCGCAATGATATGAAAACCATATTTGATGATTATCTTTATGGTGTTGAGAAAGATGATATAGAAGAAATAACCAAAAAATTGAAAAATAATAAGTATGCGCATTTAGAAATCCAACTTGTATATCCATACCAATGGAAAATTGTTATTCCGCAATAAAACATGTGTTAATATATAGATATGCCAAAACGTAAAGAGCCTGAAACAATTGATGATATAATTAATGAAATTGATTCTGCAAATAATACTATCAAAGATGCTGTATGTGATGATAATATACAAGATAAACCGAAAGAGGGTTTTAATAAAAGAGATCAACTACTTAAACTAGCTGAAGATGGTGATTTAGACAAGTCAGTTGCTTACATTAAAAAAGCTAGTCAAAAAATTATTGATAAATTATACATTGAATACGAGAAAAAACGATTACAAAAAGCTAATGAGTTTTTAACTGATTTAGTTATATCAAAATTTTCAGATATATTAAAAGGGTTTGATGTTATTGAAGACTCAAAAGAATTAACAAAACAGCTTAAATCAGACGACCTTTTAAAACGAGATGTTTATAGTTTAGTAGAAAAAGTATCACCCCTATTACCATTTTTAGGGTGTTTATCAGGCGGCATAACAACCGTTAAACATGTTTACGAACATAAAAATAATAAACCGGATATAAAATCTGAGGAATAATATAAATGAGCTTATTTTATGGGTATGATAAAACAGATATTAATTTAAATATACAAGGACCTGTAGATAAAACACATCTATCAGATAACCACTACACTAAAACTCAAGTTAATAATAAATTTAATGACTACTATACTAAAACACAAGCTGATGGTAAGTATGCTTTGACTTTAATTTACTAAAATATTATACTAAAACACAAGCTGATAATAAATATGTTTTGTTTCAAGATTAGCCAACTATTATACAAAGAATGAAACAAATGGTAAGTATGCTTTAAGTTCTAATTTAAATAAATATTACACAAAGACTGAAACAGATGGTAAGTATGCTTTAACTTCTAATTTAAATAACTATTATACTAAAACACAAGCTGATGGTAAGTATGCTTTGACTTCTAATTTAAATAACTATTATACTAAAACACAAGCTGATGGTAAGTATGCTTTGACTTCTAATTTAAATAACTATTATACTAAAACACAAGCTGATAGTAAATTTAATGACTACTATACTAAAACACAAGCTGATGGTAAGTATGCTTTGACTTCTAATTTAAATAACTGTATACTAAAACACAAGCTGATGGTAAGTATGCTTTGACTTCTAATTTAACTAACTATTATACTAAAACACAAGCTGATGGTAAGTATGCTTTGACTTCTAATTTAACTAACTATTATACAAAGAATGAGATTGATAGCAGAGTAAATGGTAAAGTAGTACACCATAGCAATCAATTAAATTATAATAATTTTAATACCCGACAAAATATTATCAGAATTTATTTTAGTAATGTTAAATTTATTGAATTTACACTTTTATTAATAAATCCATCTGATAACTCTAAAACAATTAAATTAGATATGATGGCAGATAAGATTAAAAAAAAATTTATCATTAAAGTAACAAATGATAATGAAAAAAAGATAGTTAATGCATTACTAGATTTATATCACGTATACTGTGTTGATGATAAAGATAATAATATTTTATTAATTATTGAACCAACAAAATCTTCAGTTTCACTAGGTTATGACGAATGGAAAAGAAAATGGCTGGCAGCATTTAATGGATTAACCAAAATTCAAGTTTATTCACAACATCAATCTACATTATCTATGTCATTTAATGGTTTTCAAAAATTTTAGGGCTACTATAGAAGATAATATTCTATCAACTAAAAAATTTGTAAATGATGAAATCGAAAATTAAAAATTTATTAAAAATAACTATCAAGCTAAAACTTAAGATGAAGAATAATCCTCATGTTTGACTACATATCACATAACTGTTTGTAATAAGTAATTAATACAAAAGCGATATACAAAAGATTCAAAATCCTGAAACAATTATTAAAAACACTTTTAACAAAAATTATATGACACTCGCTTGACAGACAAATTAAAAACATATAGATTCCATATTTTATAAAGAGCATCTATGAGCGATTATTTAGCTCAAATTTCAGGCTTAGTTGCCTGAAATTCTTCGCTAACAACGATTTAAAAGATGCTTTATTAATATGATTATTAACACTTGATTATTATACATGCGCTGATGAAATGTGCTATCATTAAACAACCATTGTTAAGAACATGCACTAAGACACGCCTGACAGACAGATTAAAAACATATAGATTCATATTTTGCCTTTGAGCAATGACTTTCACTGGCTTTCTTACATGGCCTTTTACTAGGACGCCTTTTTGAACCATGGTCTTATTTACGCTGTTATAAAGAAAGTTTTTACCTCTTTGAAACAAACGAATTTTTTACTTGGCTTTTACATGACCTTTTACCAGAGGGACGTCTTTATACCATGGTCTTATTTTACGCTGTTATAAAAATAGTTTTTACCCACTGCTGTAGTAGTAATACATGGGATTCAGATCATAAAAATTAAACTTTTATGGATTCGTACTATATTATTATTTCACTCAAACAATTACTAAAGGGCATTTGGTTGCCTATGATGCAGAAGAGATTTTCTACCAATGGTCCTGGCTCACTGTAGTTATTCAGTTAAAGTTGCTGAAGAAACTGAAACTGCTGTAAAGTTAACTAAATCTTTAGAAGACAACTTGTAGACAGATTTATTCAGGGAAAACCTAGGATTACATGTTCGGTCAGTTGCCTTAATTTTATCTTATTTTTTTATCATGTATAAAACAGATAGAATGAATTGGATTGAAAATATTTTTATTTTCTTTAAATAACTAATTAAAATGTTTCTGTAAACAGTATCGGTGTTAAATCTTAAACGCCATGTCTTTTGGCTTGATTTATTTGTCTTCAGTAAAGATATTTAATGATGGAGCTGTTTTTAAAAGATTTGAAATGAAAAATACCTCCAGGTAAAAATAATAGAACTAATTAAAATATGTTTTGGAAAACAATCAAATTTGACAGCTCTTTTTATAAATTGTTATATTAACCTAGGCCTTAAATAAAGTTTTTTTATTTCCTCGATAATACAGTAATTATTTTTGTAGCTAAATAATGCTTGTGTATTTTAATGAATAGATCAAGCAAAATCAATTGCTCAAATATCCATATGATTGTTTATTCTATGTGATGTATCATAAGACATAAATTATGAAACATTTTTGTTTAAAAACAAGCAAATCATCGAGGAGTTTGTCCTTTTTGCTCCACATGCTTTTTCAAGGTTATGAAATTTTTTCTATATAGGTTACGCTATCTCCAATCAACAAAGATCACATCTTAAGTGAACTAAATCGACTGACTGATGTTTGTGATGTTCTTGATCTCTACGATGTCATTGGTTTATCTTCTGCTGGAGGAGATCCCGAAATGCTTATTAGTGAATATATGCAATCAGCATTAAAAACTTGAATCAAGAATATTTTTAAAGAGTGAAGGTATACTGCTGTATACATACAAACTAAACGTAATTTGTTAGTTTGTGTTTCTCCTTTCATATGCTCAAAGATATATATGTTATTTAATTACCGGCTGAGAGATCGTACGGACCAACCTAAACGGTAAATAACATATTTATTTCTTTAATTTTATTATGAAGAAATTCGCGCTGTAAAATGGCCAATGACCGGATGCAACTTGATGTTGAGACTAAATTTGGTGTTTTCTTCAAACTTCCTTTCGTGTGGATAGAAAAATGCTCTCTTTCATCGCTTTCAAGTCATTTTTAAACATTTACATTCCTTTGCAAGCAAAAACACTGCGAAACAAAGTTTTTTTGCCCTATAGGCAAAATCGTAAAATCCGCCCACTCAGACAAGCTAATCAAATTATTGGACGTCAAAAAATGTTGCTGGAAACGATAAATAAAAGGAAAATAAACTTTGTTTTGTGTTGACTTGATTAAAACAAAAAAACTGTAATGTTGCACCATGTGCTACAAGTGTCTCAATAATTATATTTTAGGCAGAACAGTTTGTCAGCTTCAACATGTTGTTGCGCTTTGGGGTACATTATCATTAGAAAGAGCAAGAATTTGGCTGAAAATAATCAGGTCAGTTCTACTTTGATTAAAAATTAGCGATAAATTATATATAACTTATAATATGCTAAGGTCACAGTGACAAATTGTATCTGTTTAAATTGAATATTAGCCTGTATCAGTACAAATGTAAGTTAAGAACATTTCATTTTGCTGAAAATTACTGATTTTGCCGTATACACGAGTCCTTTTTTTCAAGACTTACTTCAAATAAATATGTGATAATTTATTAAGCTGACATTGTTAATTTTTACCATAAATAAAGGAAAAATGACTGAAGTTAATGACATTATTTTAACTTTATCTCTATTTTTAATGTCCAACATGTATTTGCAAATAATTGATGTTGATGTGGAGGTAATGGGTATGTGGACTATATATGGTGCTTGATAGTGCTGAAGAACTGAAAAACTGACACGGACTTATTTATATTTATCTTACATCTCATTCATAGGATCCATTTGATGATGTAACAGATAATATAAAGAGAGCATTGAACAAACAGACTAAGGGCGACTTCTGTCGTGGTTTACACAAAATCAAAATTGATCGTTTTGTTGATGAGTTGTTGCATCTAATTTTACTCTTTTTGAAAAATGCACAAGGAAAACAGTTACACCATCCGTAAGTATTCTGATTGTTCAAGTTGTGTGTTCTCTTAACTTGTTAACAAAATGTCTTTTCATATCCAAACATTTTACATCGCACTGTTGCTTGATAATTTTCATTCCTAATTGAGCCAGCATTTTATCTCAAAGAAAAATCTATTATTGTTTGAATTTTTGTTCTTAAAATCTATTTCAAACTTATTGCAAAAGTTTCATACCTGATAAAATCTCTTGCTATTTGTACGTTACTGTCATAAACTTGCAACTTGTCTCAAATGTTCAGGTGAAAGAAATTAAATTAAAAGTGTGAAAAATATAATGTCGGGGAATTTTAAATGAATTTTTATTCTTCTGTTAAAAAGTTAGAAGAAATGTAGTACGTCATAAAGAAAAGAAGTAACTCAAAATAGTGAAAATTTTCAATGTTTATATTGATCTGTTTTTTTACAATGGTTTTTGGCATACTTTTTTCAATTTAAAAAAATGTAAATTGATTTTTTTTAAATTTAAGAAGCCAAATTTTTAAACGACTTACCCTGAAATAACAAGTCAGCCGTTTTGTCTTACAAAACTTTAGGAAATTGACATGAAAGAAATCGTTTTATAAATGGTAGAATAAACGAACTTTTTTGATATTTAACGCGAAACATCACTTATGAAATTTTTGAAATTTCGCAAAAGTGATTTTTGTTTGAAGTTATTTACAGAATCGGGCCACGTTCTTTTTTGACCAAGTTAGAAGAGGTGAAACTAGAACTTTAAATGGGGAGTTATGTATTCATGTATTCAGCTCTGCCCATCTGATTTCTTTTGAAATTTTAATCGTTAAAAAACGAAATCAATAAAGCAGAGCTGAATATATGAATATTTACCACCTTACTAAACATTCTCTGTAAGTTAGCTTTACACTACCCAGTTTTCTTCTGGCCCAATTTATTTCTTCCCTTAATCTTGAAACTCAAGTTTCGCCCATGAAAATTCGTGTCGCTAAGATTTGCAATGATTATTTTCGATAAAGCTTAGCTGAGTACATCAACAAGAAGCTTGAACAAGATGGTTGTACTCTTATTGAAGATCTTAGAGAGAACTTACCAGATGAAGTTACTGTGGCACATGCTGTTGATGCTTGGAGGCTTGCATATGAGAAAAGCGACTACCACTCAAACTATTCTTGATTATGTCCACAATGGAAGATGGAGTCTTTTTTTAAGCTAATACATGGCACTTAAAATCTCATTCACATTTATATTAAACTAGGGTGCATCATACAACAGTAGTTAATAAAATAGAAAGAAGCACAAGCCAATGTAAAACGCATGTGTAGTTTATTTGTTAAAATGAAAATATTTAATTCATTACTATTTGACGACCAATTATGTAACAATCAATCTTTTTGCACTAATACATATTTTAAACTGTAAAAACTTTTTATTGCCAGTTTTTCTTTATTTTTATTGAATTTCGTTATGCATCGTACACCAGTCCTTTCTTTCATTTTTCCATTTGCAGGAAAGTCATCTTCGAGCAATGCAATATATTCCTAATATCATAAATATTAAATGTTTTCTTTTTGAAAAGTTTCATCGTCGCTTAGATCGAAGCGAAGCTGAAAAGTTCACCGTTGAACTTCTATATAAAAGAGGTACAGGTACGCACTGCGTTAGTTTATAAAAACGGTTGAAAAGGCGTCAAATTTCTCTCAAAAATGTACGTTGTTTGTTATTTGTAACGCAAATGAATGGTATAGTCAGTAGGGAAGCAAGCCGTCTTTTGCTCCTAAAATGTATTTTTTGTATTCACTCACTCGTACAAAAATAAATCGATGCAATTTTCTAATGAATGAATACTAACTTTGCTGAAATATCTGCATTGAAACAGTTAAAGACCGGGCGACTATGCCAATAGCTATATGTGTATATTTGAAGTATGCAAAACAAGAGTTCACGTGTCTCCAAAATCGAGGTTATCGCCATGTCACAATCGATACAAGTCAATATATTAAAAAACTCCCAAAATAATAATTACGTTCATCACAGTATAATACAATTGACTCTGCCTCGTCACATACGTCTCACAACAACTGACTCTCTCAACTATATGACTGGTCAAGAAAAACTTCCTTTTTCTTGACGTCATTTACAAATGTTCCGTGCATTCTAGATAGTAACTAACATTGAGTGATGTCTTTATCTGTTTCCGACACTTATGTTATCAATATTAAGAAGTAGAAACAGATCTTCCATGTTGCAAAGACAGACGACTAAAGTGTCGATGCTTGAATACTATTTCTAATCACATGTTGTAGTAAAGACACTAAATATTAGCTATGTCAAGAATATAACGTGGAATGAAATTTAAACCTTAGGAACTTAAAGATGTCGTTGTGCATGCGCATTGTCTCGTACGCTGACTAATCAATTTATCAACCAAAATCGTCGAAAAATAAAAATTACTTCATCCAATGTGATTCTATAATTGTTTTAGTAAACTTTGATTAGCAAATAAAATCGTTGCTCATAATTTATTTATCATCTTTCATACTTTTTAGGCCGGAAGAAAAACAACATGTCAAGGCTTTAATCCATAGCTTCATTTTGGCTTGGAAAACCATTAGAATATCACTTGTGAAAAAAGATCAGTCCTAAAATCAAAGTTGAGGTCGCTATACAGTGCATGCGCAATTTAATAGCTTAATTTACTTTATCGACTGATGAGGTGTCTTCAGTCGTTTCAAAGGATGAGCAATATTGGTTTACAATTCATTTTTTTATTCAATGTTGACAATTGTCTGCTGTGAAATTACTAAAATAACACTTTATGCTAATAAGCTTGATCTTACTTGACCTAACTAAACTTCATGTGTCCTACTTATTAGGTCGTTACGTTGTATCAAAAGAGCTGAGCGAAAAGGAAGTTACGAACGCTAAACCGATTTCCATGGTCTTGCGTTCGCGGAAAGGATTATGAAAGTGTTCTTTAGCGCTGTTAAATTACCTGGTGTCTTTACATAACGATTTTATTGGTCGATGTAAACGTTTGTTGAAAGATGACGAGAAATAGTAAGATGAATTGTAAAAGGATTTCTATTATTTTTTAATTAAGTTTACGTTTTCAATAATAATTTTTGTGGTGTAGTTTTGTTGTTAATTGCTTATCAAAAATATGAAATATGAAAAAATGAGTTGTTTTTCTACTTCTTCAAAGTATTATCTTCATTTTCTTTCTCTCTTTGACAATATTTACGTATATAATATTAAGAGGAGGTCCCAATGTCAAACGTTGCAAAAGCGCACTTGGTGGCCTATGACCCAGACAGAGGTTTTTTACCAATGGTTCTGGCTTGCTGTTACTATTCACTAAAAGTTGGTGAAAGAACGGAAGAAACTGTTGTAAAGTTCAACTGGAAATCTTTAGAAAGACAACTTGTCGACAGATTTATTCTGGGAAAACCTATAATTACATCTTTGGTTAGTTCCCTGAATTTTTTCTTGTTATCTATGTTGTACAGAAAGGGATATAAATGAATTGGATTGAGAATTTATGGTCCTGTCAGCTCTTTTTGAGTTTAAGTTAATATAAATTAAGTTTCTGCTTTTCTAGGTTAAATTATTTGTGTTCAGCAAAGATATTTGTGATGGAGCTGTTTTTAAAGCGTTGAATCAAAAGATCCCTCAGGTACACTTAATAAGAAAAGTAGCTAATTTAGCTACTTTACTTATGATAAGGAAAAACAAAACGAAATAAATTTTCGGTGATGTAGTCAGAGTTATCTAGAATCTGCTCTGTATGAATTATCTCATTTTCAAGATTTTGGTCGTTTTTTTTTAATTTCGTTATTTTTTCTAACGTCTATGGTTTCTAATTCTGTTTGTAAATTAAACTTAGTCGACAAGGGAAAGATCAGATCTTAAGTGAACTGAACCAACTCACTTATGTTCGTAATGTTCTTAAATCTCTCCACAATGTCATTGGCTTCTTATCTCCTGCTGGAGGAAATCCAGGAATGCTTATCAGTGAATATATGAAATCAGCATTGAAAATTGATCCTAGAAACGGTTTAAAAAGTGGAAAGGTAGCTATACTGTGTGTAAATAAAATAAACTACCTTTGAGTTTTTGTGAAGATTAAAAACTGTATGCTAAAGACTTTTTTATCAAATGAAAACATTTACTAACATTCTTGAAGAGTTTTCAATGGCCCTTTGTCTGCGGTTCGATTCGATATTAGTTTGTTAAAGCTCAGTTTTATAATGCTTTATAATGATCGAAATTAATTCTTTAAATAGCTCTGAATTTTTAATTAACTTTGTTTTATGAGTGTCTATCCTATTTCTCTGCCAGACAGATTACTAATGTAACATAAAGAATGAAAGCCATAAAAGTATTTTGTATTCTTTCACCGTCGTTTATAAGGGTTTCTTAAATTATATTTTAGGCAGAGCAGATTTGCCAACTTCAACATGTTGTTGCGCTTTGAAAATTGTTATCATTAGAGAGAGAAAAAATATTGGCAGGTTTGTTTGGCTTGGTTTATATTTTGGTATAAATTGCGCAGGAATTCTTACGTGAAGGTATTAATTGCGCTGACAGATATAGTACTATACGTATGTTTTGCTTTTTGGCTAATAAAATCAATTTCAATTAAGAGCATTTCAGTCTGATTATTTTGCACATGAGTCCTGCTTTTTACTTGTTTCAATTAAACAGGCGATACTTTATCGTTATCTAGATAAAAAAAATATAGCTAATTTTGACTACCATAACTACATCAATAAAAAATATGTCTTCTGATATGCAGCCCTTTAAAATAGTTTATGTTGTTATGGACTGTATAAGAACTGTATAGACTATATGGTGCGTAAAAGTAAAATATCAACCAAAAATTGATATGGGAATATTGAAATCTTTGTGGTATTGCTATAGGAACCATTTGACGATGTAACAGATAAGATAAAGACAGCATTGAACAAAGATATGAAATTTGAATTAAGTCGTGGTTTACAGAAAATCAACATTGATCGTTTTGTTGACGAATTGTTGCAACTTATTTTACTCTTTTTGAAAAATGCACAAGACGAACAGTTGCACTGGCCGTAAGTAAAACTATTTACATAACTATTTTTTGTGCTTCTTAAACTTACAACATGTCCTTTCATATCCTACCTTTTTACATCGTAAAGTTGGTCGACCGTTATCAAACCCTGATCGTATCATGAAAAAGTGTATGTGTTAATGTTACATCTTTGCGTTTCATTAAGTAGCTAGTTTATTTCCAACTCTATAGCATTTTAGAAATACAAGCATGTTTGGAGAATACGATTTAGATACAGGAATTTTTCTAAATACAAGAGGTTCTACAAACAGCCTTGTCTAACGTGATGGAAACTCGTGTTGTTGTACACAACCCATACATGTATAAAAGAAAAACGATGCTAAATTTATTTAAAAAGTAATCTTTTTCGTAAAACGTGATAAAACATAATTTCATAATATTGTAACATACAAGTCATGATGGAATATGGGCGAATACCTGCAAATGTTTTGTAAAAACTTTACTCTCGGAAAAATGTTAAAATGTCATGGAAGCATGTCTTTACATAAATGAAATGGTTATTACAAAATCATAAAAAAAGTTTAAAGTGTACGATAATCTGCTTTTCCAAAACTTTCAATCAAACTTTTTCATTTAATAAGTCGAAAAACCTATTTAACTGTATTAATAGAAAGCTAGTTGTATTCATTAGAAAAAGTTTTTTTATATAGCTCATACCACTAAGATTTTAATCTTCGCTTTTAACATATAGTTTAGCTGAGTACATCAATGCAAAGCTTGAACAAGATGGTTGTGATATTATTAAAGATCTTGAGGAGAGTTCATCCGATGAAATTACTGTGGCACATGCTTCTGAAGCTTGGAAGCTTGCATGTCAGAAAAGTGATGATTACAATTCAAGAATGTATTGATTAAGTGGACAATGTTTTTAATGACGATAAAATGCTTGAAATTCTCTAACTTGATAATGTTCGTTTAATTTCAAGCGAGATTTAGAAGGCATAGCTAGGTATTTTTCAAACCAATTTACTAAAATATCATCATAAAATTACATGAAATACAGAAAACAATTATCATTTACTATGAAAACATCGGAGAACATTAGTAAGTAATTAAAAACAGTATATCATTATTTCTGTCTTTATTAACCTTTTAGCAATGTGCATGTGTGACGTTTAAACACTGAATTAAAATGTTCGTTGTGTTATTCTTACTAATCTAGCGTAAATAAAGTCAAAATCTACCATTTGCTCCAATATGAATATCAAGTTTTTGAATCTTGGGAATGTGCCTTACAATGTATTAAACCTGTATTATAGAGCTTCAACTTGAAATGCCATATCATTTCAGGGAAAATGATTTCCTTTGATCAATGTTGACTTTTAAATTCCCAGGTACATCCCATGGATAAGATAAAAACGCTATTGATCAAAGGAAACTGGTGCTTTTTTAACTTCCAACAATTCTTATAGCTAGATGTTGCTAACGTGTTGTATACATAACGTATTAAGCAGTTGTTGATGACAATTATTTTGTGAATACGTGCAGCTATTAGCCATTTCCGTGTTTTTATTGTTCAGACTATGCAATTGACTAGCTGCAACTATGAATGCATGAGTGGCCGAGAGGCTTTAATGACATTTCGTATTTCTTATGCCGCGCGACCACTGATATGTATATTACACTGGATAACGCACCATGTATAAAATACATTGAATTCTATAATAACTGGAACGGCTATCTCAAGCGCGGCTTTAATTAGCGGCTGACGCCAATAAAATGGATGATTTGTTCGATTACCGCTGAGATTTACCGAAATTGACTGCTTTTCTAAAAATCTCACAATTTCTCTCTCCCCCTTGAGAAAGAGTGAGGAAAAAGTATATGTTTTTAGCATGTTTGGCAAGCAATTTTATGATGAAAATCACTGTAAAAACATAAATTTCCTAAAACCGAGTCTACTGTGGTCGCCAGTTGTCGGCTTCTACGACGGATCTTTTTTTAACAAACGAGCTATTTGTTGGCCACATATGAATGCAGACGTGCACGTCGTAACTGTCGTTTAATGATTTGCTCGATCAAAGTTTGTAGTCTACACGAAACAAAATATATGTGTATTTAATACTTCCCTTCTTTTTCTCTTTTTTATGTGTTTCCTATTAGCCATGTAAGTTTAGAATTTGATTGACTAATAAAGCTTTCACCTCAATAATAAATTTTTTACCCATATTAGTACCAGTTGCTATGGGATTTTTCCCTCTAAGTATGCAACATCTGGTGTTGTTTATACAAGAATGATGAAGTGCATAAACACATGTAAAAATAAGACAATAAAACCAAATGAATTAAACACATTTTGTGTTCTTTAATGCTAGAAGCACTACATCTTTTCAGTAATTGTAGAGTTATTAAACTGTACTACCTGTATTTCATTCATGTTATGAAATGAATTAAGAAGCAAAAAATCGAAGAAAAACTTGGAAAAAACAAAAAATTTCCCTGGTTTAATAAAGGGGAAGATAAAGCAAATGGCAAATGTCCATTCTCTACTTTATCAGGTAAATGAGCTCAAAATATTTTTTCAGCAAAAACTGAAATTAACAAGAAATATATAGCACTGAATTTTTCATCACTGAATCTTTAATGCTTCAATATGGCATGCATTACATATAAGTAATATTCAAACAAAATTCTACTAAAATAATTTAATAAAGAGATTTGACCTTATTTTCCAGTTTAGTTGTACAAAAATTGTACAGTTGCAGTAAGTCATCATCAATCTCAGTATAAATATTGACACAAGAACAAATTTTATGACCTTTTTACATAACATTTCATCAAGCATCAAGACACACAAAACCTTGTCATCATTATTTGGTACTTGACCTTTACTTTCAAAGCGGTCAAGGCATCTTTACAAATCCTTTATCTCCATCCATAGAATTAGTCCAAGTTGAAGTAACTTTTGAACAGGGAAGTCTGTAAATTATTTACCTTTGTTTGTATTTTGCCTTATAATTTTGCACTTAGACTCTGCCAGGTCAATAATATCTGCCAATTGTCTTCATAGTCCTCTATGAAATAGTGTTGATACTGGTACTGCAGAATATTCCAGAAACATTTTGCTATCCGATCATCTCTTCATGTTGTCAGCAAATTGATTCGAACAACCTCTGCTCTACATAATGTGTACCCTTTGGGGGTGTTCGTTTCTTCATTGTATCTGCCCACTGAGTAAAAAGAGCAGAATATTTTTCGCGTTAGGGAAACTCTTGCCAACAGATTTACGGTTTCACACATTAACCAATAAGTGGAAAAGTATGTTGATATTTAAAAACATAAATAGGAAAACATCAGTCGGATTTTATCCTAGGGCTTCAAGTTCAGTTGCTTTTCAATTACAAACAAAACAATTATCTCACCTGTGAAAGCGACTTTGTGGACATTACGATATTTAACAATTGAATGATTGAAGTGTTTGCATTTTAAAAGAAATGACAAAGAAAGATATCGTGTTTGCTTTTGAAAAAAGCTATTAATTAGTTATAGACATCAGGGGGAGGTCGAGAATATAATTTTTCTGCAAAGCGATCATTTCAGAGGAAATAGGTCCATTGGCCGCCATTTTTTTGGCGTCAGTTCCCAGTCTACTTAGCCGCTCCAGTTATTATAGAACTCAAAGATAAAATATAGTAAGATAAATGAAGCCGGAAGATCGATCATTTGCTACTGGCTTGATGGGGGGTATCGGTCCCACTTTACTACACTTTTGTATTACAAAATCACAGTTTTCGCGTTTTTATTCCTTTTACAAACTTCTGATTGAGGCAAAAATTTTATGACATGTAGAAGAAAACCGGTAGAGAGTTTTAACCCTGAAGTTCTGTTTTTTTTTGGCTTTGTAACGACTGAAAAATAAGGCGGAAAGTTTTATTGAAATTTGAAAGTTGAAGGAGACGAGAAAAATTTCAGCCGTGCGAGGCATTTTTGAAGATGAATACTTAAATTACAAAATTACAACAAAGTAAGAACAAAGGTATTCATATCTTCAACATATTCATCGATATTGAAGTTGTTCACATACGTACTGGTTGAAAACTTATCTTCGCTTAATGACAACAGAGGTACTTTAATTCACATATTTTGCTGATGTACATCTTGAAGAGTTTGATGATACTGTTTTCAACTTACTATTGTTCATCAAAATGTCTTTCTGATTCTTTTTCTATGTCGATTTGTTTTGCTTCTTCACTGATATAATAAAGACGTAATTTGAAATTATGATATTAGCGATGTGAATAACAAAGTGTTGTTAAATCAGTAAATTTGTAGCAATCTTCCATAAACGTCATTGCAGATGAAATTTTGGTAGCAGTAGTAGGATTCTACAATTTTTCTACATTTTTTAAGAAGCAGCAGCATCATATAATACCAGTTTGTTTCAAAACAATGCAGATGGTTCTTGTACCATCTCAATTTTCTGCCATTATAAAGCCAAGAAGACAACTTGTTAGGATTAAATATCTTTGCCGGTTATTCTGTCTCTTATCCAGTGTAATATACATATCAGTGTCTTCATAACACCCAGTGATCACACCCATTCCGGGTCCGATCTGCGATCACTATTTCTCATTATAAATAAAAGAAAATTGTAGCTTCCACTTTGGATTGCAGAGTTTAGTCAATATTGCTCACATGCTTTAAATGCCGAGGGACGGTTCTGGGAAAATCAAAATTTCCTTGTATTCATATCTTTCGGCAGTTGAACTGAGTGAACATACATTTTGCAACATGATTAAGATGATCTGATTCAATCTTTATGGAAGATAAAAATAAAACGAAGGAAACTCCTTCAGAAAGCGAAAAAGCGGATGACAACGCCGCCGATTTAAGCGATGAACGCACTTCTATTGCAAATGCATCGCTGAACGCAGAATCTAATTTAAGCAGCAGTAGCAGCAGCATTAGTAGCAGCAGCAGAAGTAGCAGCGAAGAAATTGTTTATCCGGGAGAGGGTAAGAGTTCGATTAAGACTTTGTCACAATTATGTATATTAGGGTTTGATGGAACAAATTATCGTTGTTCTAATTGTTCGATCGAACATTTTCGTTTTTGGAATTTGCACTTTCGGTTTCACTTTACTTAATGAAGTGCTATTTGCGTTAAAGATAATTTCAAGGATGGAGTGTATGATAAGTTTTGAGATTCCGTGCTATTTTAGGGTGGATTCGGTTTTTGCTCGTGATTTTATGAATTTATATAAAACAGACCCTGCTTTCGTAAAAGAAACAGCACTATAATCTTGTGTGTTCAAAACCGGAAGTATAATTTTGCTCAAAATGTACAGTTTATATTAGCCAGATTCCAAATGCACAGCTCCATATCAATCCAATTCCAAAATTTAGCCAACATTTTAATGCACATTGACTTTTGCTTGATAATATGACATGTTTGACATCCGTGAAAAATTAAATGATTTACACTCATATGTGACACAATATGTTTTAAAGAGCTCTACAGGTCTATAGATGGCTTGATTGGATTGTTTACGTGCATCATTTTGCCTCCTTGGCAGTCATTAGCTGCATGTTAACTCAAACTTCATTAAAACTTACTATTTATTTTATGTGTTTTTCATATTTTCTCACATTCTTAAGTTTTGTAATGTATTGCTTATTCATTCAGAATATGCGCTTTCTTTACAAAGTTGGGAAAAGATAATATTAAGTGCAATGATGCCACATTTGAAGTTATAGGTTACTCTGAAATAACACATGCTATATAAACAGAAGGAACAATCTAGGTTTTAAATAACAATAAATCCCACTGATATATTTTAAGGCTGGCAAGTTTATGGAAAATTAGTAAGTTTTTAATGCCTCAAGTGCATGATGCCTGCCGAGTCATAAAAATATTAATTTATTTCAATCAAGCTGTCAGGGGTGAAAGTAGAATGTTAATTTGGGGGGGGGTGAATATTTATTTATTCAGCTGTGCTTGACTGATTTTGCTGGTGATTTTAATTTCAAAAGAAATAAGTAGGACAGAGCTGAATATATAAATGTTCACCCCCCCCCTAATTAGCATTACAGTTTTGCTCCTGAAAGCTGTATATGGTGTAACTCACTTATAAAGTTATAACAAGTTATAACAATGAATTTAATGTTTATTTTAAGTTGTGTCTTAAGTCAAAAATGCATGGATACTCAAAGGTTTAGTTGATGGTGACTGCTTTTGTATTTTGTGTGTTAAATTCAAATGAGCCTAACCATTGGTAGCACCAACTCCGCTGATGAGTCAACCATTTGTTGCTACAATAATGAGTTTAAATCTGTTTTGAAAAGAAGCGGGGTAGACTTGATATTTCAGTGTGTAATAGTAGTTTTCCTCATGTGAAGTTGGTGTTTTTCAAATAAGTGGGGAACTTGCCCCCCAGGATATATGCACCCCTGGCTACAGGGTCATGCAGCTTTTTAACTTACTGCATGTCTTACATGTGATTACTCCTTAATGATGCACGTGATATTTGTAACCCCATAGGGTGAAAAATTGGAAAAGTTCTTTTTAAAGTTTAAACAAAATTTTGAAAATTGTCGACCGGGTTAGGGAAATTGGAAAACAAATACTTCATGAGTTCTGAGCAATGTGCATTTGAACAATATTTATAGCAGGAAAGCCATTTTCTCTGCATTCATTTAGGATTTGATCGTACGGTTTTTAACAGCGTAAATGATCTACGTTAAACACATTTAGCTACCACGGAAAATCAAAAACGTCCAAATCCTAATTATGTCCAGATACAACGGGCCACTTGAAAGCCCGGGCCTGTAGGCTTAAGGCCACTTAGCCTACTGGATAATCCGCCCCTGGGTTTATGATATAAACATTGCTACTTTTGCTAATGATTATGTCCCCTGGGGAACAATAAGGACTATGTTAGATTATATTTGACCAATCACAAGGTATGTGACGTCTTTTATGTCAATAGACGTCTTTCGTGAGTTTCGTCTTATTGCTGTCGTATTCGAACAATTAAAGTACGTGATTTGCGCAACTTTCTTTGTAAACTTTTTCACTATCATCTGCATCGCCTTGCACATTGCTAATGCTGCTGCATAAAGCTATCCCTACACAAGGCATACTGAGACGTTTTGACTCTTGAAGGCTTATCAGTAAAAAATTTTAATACTTCTTCTTTATCGTGTCATAGTTTGAGTTATATCTATACACCTATTGCATTGTGTAAGATAAACTAAGTAACATTTTATCCACCTTTCCGACGGTTGATACACGGGTCAAAAATACGAGATCAAATAACAAAATTCGGACAATCAAATGGTCGGACATAGTATTGTTAATGTAGAATAGTGGCAATAAAATGGTTAAGAGATGCTTTGACTTTGGGGGTATTTGTGAGTCCGGTTCTAGTTATTCAGAACGATTATTTATGAAGGCAGAAGGCATAACAGTAAATACGAACTATTTTGGGTTAGAAAAAAGCATAACGATCGAAAGTAAGCTTGGATATTGCCATGTTGCCGTGCTAATGACTTTTTTGTAAGGATTGTTACGGGCCTTTACGACGTGACTTAAAATATCCAGGACGGATTCCAACTACACAAAGCGCTAAAAATCAAGCCATACAAATTTTTGAACTGTTATTTTTACTAAATAATGAATACGCTGTCTTATAATCACTTATCAATATTATTATTATTGATGGATGAAATCTACCTAAAATTAGAATTTTCTTCGCTCGATGCACCTAAAATTGGATCTGGATAATCTTTGATGGGGTGGTTTCTTACAACGAAATACATACTACATGCATCTAAGTAACAAGGTGGACGACTGTCTCTGTGCGATCAAAAGAAGTCTTTTCAATCGGAAAAGTGTACTGTTTAATCGCAAAGTTACTCCATATGTGAAGTTACTTTCTAGATTGAATCATAAAAAAGAAATTTACTCTCCAAAATGAACTAAAATTTTATTGACATAAGGGCTCAATTTAGATGATGGCTTGGCTTATTAAATGTTTTTAAAAACTATCTATGTAAAAAATCTTTGTAAAAACTATCATTAAAAAATATATGATCCCTTTTTTCATAAAGCACGTGAGTGCTATCGTTCATGATGAGAGAGTTACATTGTATAAGCAGGCTCTCGTTCATCACGAGAGAGTTATGAGAAAGTTACATTGCAAAAGGTAACATGTGAAAAACGTATAGTCAAAGAGGCAGAAGTTCTAGTTTCTTTTATGAGATAAGCAAAAAGATAAAATTCAAAAGCAAAAAACCCCGTTTTCGGTCCATGCTTCCCGATACCTTCTTATATGTAAGGCACTAGAACGCCGCATGTTAACGTTTCGGTAGGAGATTTCGGCTCCTCCACGCTATCCTACTTGGGAGATGCACTAGCAAGCTTCCGCCCATCAGACCGCGAGAACACCTGCGATAGGCTCTGCTCGGCGTACGCAGGGAGAGTGCGGTCGCCACCGAAGTGTGGACCCTAAGCTACTGCATACTATGTCGCACCCAGCTTCCACTGCTAGTTGACATCTACTATATGAAGTTTCAGCTTTATTTATATATACATAAATTTAAAGGCTTACGAATGTTGTGGTATTGTTTAAGTCACTACTGCGCATGCCCAGATTATTTCTTCGATAATTTGCGACTAAATGAGGTAATTGCCACAAATGTAGTGCAAGTACACATAGTTAGTCGTTGCCATGACTATGAACAATTAGTCAAGTAGATGGTGCATGCTCAAGCGCATGCTCAGATGATTTCTGTATTAAATTGTTGCTAAGCATGCTATTTACTTCAAAGTCGGTGCTAGTACATGCAGTTGGTCGTTGCCATGACCAAGAACTTGGGCAACATGCTCAAGCATACTGCGCATGCGCAGATGATATATCTGAAATTTATGACTGAGCGATCTAATTACTCCATAATCGGTAGTAGTTCATACTGTTGGTCGTTGCCATGAGCATGAACTTGGAGAGTTTGTGGAGTTGTTTACGCATGCTCAAGAAGACTGCGCATGCGCAGATGATTTATCTAAAATTTTGTGACTGTGCAAGCTAATTATTCCATAATCAGTGCTAGTACATACAGTTGGTCGCTCTCGAAAATGATTTTTATATACTCTTACACCTTCTGCCTTTATGATTAAGTTGTGTATTTCTAAAACGAGAGCCCCAAGATGCCCCAAGAGCATTTTCTTTCTATTTTATTGCCACTATTCTACAGATATATTACTATGTCCGTCCATTTGATTGTCCGAATTTCGTAATTTGATCTCGTATTTTTGACACGTGTGTTTACCACCTTAAAGGTGGATTGAGAAGATAAGCGAGTTGGGACACTTGAACATAACGTTGCAAGTTTTAAAAGAATACGAAGGCACTATACTGAGGTTTATTTAGGCGTGTACTGTAGGACATGTTTTATGGTTTACTATCTTCCACATAGCAAGGGCTATTTATGTTTGCTGAGGAAAGGTTTACAACAAAGTCACAAATCCGTTTTCAAGAGTAAGATGGGATTGACTAGGTGGTTCACGGCTTAGGGATAGTTGTCTCGACGTGGTCATAAAAAGGTGGGGTAAGAGACATGCCTCCTTCGTCTCCTCATGATTTTCCACCTTGGTTGAGAAGTGATAGGGCAAATGCCAGGACATTGTGGATGTAGAGATTTTGTATGAAAGTTTCAGATCTCTCCACGTGTTTTTATTCAGTGTTCTCAACTCTGCAGGTCGCTGTTACTGAAATCGCTCTTCCTTAAGAGGTGGACATGACGGAGGGCAAGGTTTGTCGATGGATCATATGAAACAGGGCTGTTATTGCTGGCAGTTCAGTGTTGGTGGATTTGAGTTGAATGGACTCACAACTGGACTTTGGGAAGAGCGTTTAATTTTACCAAGTTTTGGTAGAGAATCTTGCTTCACTGATTAATGTTTACATGAGTGTATACCTGGAGTAATGTAACTCATTCCGTGGTTGTCCCAAGTTTGTTGGAATCTCCCTGAACTGTAGGTATAATATAGCCAGCCCTATTTTATTGCTCCTTTACAATTATTCAGGTATTTGATCACTGGAAAAATAATTAAGAATTTTTTTTGCTTTGAAATTAATCAACTAAAGATAAAAAATTAAATTAATTTTTAACTTTTATTTATGGGAACGTTTTATTTGTTCTATAATTATTAATGTGTGACTTTATCGACTTATTTATTCATAGAATAAACAATCAGCTAATTATACGAACTATTACCGTTTCTTTTTCAGCGACTTTTATAAAAAATATGCGTGTTATTTGTGTAAAAATATGCGTATTATAAAAACTGCAAACGGGCATACGTAACAATCGTTGGCAATGTGTTTTCAATTGAAAATGTTAATTTATGGAAGCTATAGTTATATTTAACCATGAGTAATGTTAAAACTGGTTTGGTTTACTTTACATCAAGTAACAGTGTGTAATAACAAGTCAATATTGGGTAGATTTTTGTCGTTGGTATCGGTGCTGCATCGCCAGCTGCATCAGTGAGAAGGATTTAATTAAGTAATGTATTCATCTTCTTCCGTATTAAGTTCTTTTGAAATCAATTATTTCTTAAGCATTAAAGCATGTATATATGAATAATGTCCCACTCACTTATCGAACTGGTGATGACACTGATTGTGAGTTAGCTATCAAAAACGTATGTTTAAAATAGCATTGCTTTTTATTGCTATGGCAACTTTCGCAGTTTTTGTAGTCAGCATTCTGTTTAAAGGCCTGTTCTGCCAAACGTAACTTAATTTTTGCTATTTTGCGTCCTCTGAAAGTTTCATCGCATTTTTTTGTGCTTTTTACCAATCAAACATCGAGTAAACAATGTTAAATTTTGTAGTATAATCGTTGAAAGTAGATTGCCCCAGCCTTCCTATGGTAATTTTTATTTTCATGACCAACTTGCATTTCATGCCATGAAGATAAGCGAGTTGGGACACTTGAACATATCGTTGCATGTTTAAAAAGAATACGAAGGCACTATACTAAGGTTTAGTTGCACGTGTACTGTAGGACATGTTTTATGATTTACTATCTTCTACATAGCAAGGGCCTTTTGTGTTTGCTGGTGAAAGGTTTACAACAAAGTCACAAATCCGTTTTGAAGAGTGAGATGGGATTGACTAGGCGGTTCAGGGTTAGGGGATAGTTGTCTCGACGTGGTCATAAAAAGGTGGGGTAAGAGACATGCCTCCTTCGTCTTCTCAGGATTTTCTATCTTAGTTGAGAAGTGATAGGGCAGACGCCAGGACATTGTGGATGTAGAAATTTTGTGTGAAAGTTTCATGTATGTTAAAACTGGTTTTTCTTACATGACATCAAGTGACTGTGTAATAACAAGTCAATGTTGGGTAGATTTTTGTCATTGGTAGCGGTGCTGCATCGCCAGCTGCATCAGTGAAGAGGATTTATATAAATCAATTATTTCTTAAGTATTAAAGCATGTATATATGCATAACGTCCCACTCACTTATCGAACTGGTGACGACACTGATTGTGAGTTAGCTATCAAAAACGTATGTGTAAAATAGCATTGTTTTTGTATTACAATGGCTACTTTCGCAGTTTTTGTGGTCAGGATTCTGATTAAATGCCTGTTCTGCCAAACGTAACTTAATTTTTGCTATTTTGTGTCCTCTGAATGTTTCATCTCATTTTCCCTGCTTTTTACCAATCAAATATTAAGGTAAGAATGTTAAATTTTGTAATCTAATCATTGAAAGTAGACTGCCCCAGCCTTCGTTAAGTAATTTTTATTTTCATCACCAACTTGTTTTTTATGCCAATGTATTCATAGCAATTTTCTTTTTCAGGATCTGATGATTCCTGGGCTAATGAACACAATGAAAACAGAAGTAATGATGGGCAAAACAACTCGAGACATTGTGATAGTAAAGCAAAACTTGAAAAAGCCACCAATACTGAAAAAGGCGATCTAAATGCTAGGAGTAAAAGAGATAGTGACGGTGAAGCGAAACATCAAGAAGTTAAGGATGATGAAGAAAACAGTAAAGACGCTGGTGATGATGAAGAAAAAAATACTCAAGCTAGCAACGGTGGAACAAAGGGTAAAAAGGCTAGCGATTGTGTACAAAATACAAAAACTAACGAAGGTGGAGCAAAGCTTGAAAAGACATGTGTTGGAGAAGAAAACATGAAAGCCAGTGATTCTCGGGAAAAGTATAAAAAAGCTGATGATGGTAGAGAAAATAACATAGAAATTAGCGACAATGATGACAATATGAACAAGGCTACGGATAATTTTAAAAACGACATGAAAGCTATTGATTCTGGAACAAAGCGTAGAAAAGGTGATGATAGCAAAGATAATAGAATAGAAACAAGCAATAGTCATAAAAGCAAGAACAAGACCAGCGATGGTGGAGCAGGACATCAAAAAGCTAGTGATGATGGAGTTGGACATGAAAAAGCTAGCGATGGTGGAGCAGGAGATGAAAAAGCTTGCGATTGTGCAGTAGAACATGAAAAAGCTAGCGATTGTGAAGTAGGACATAAAAACTATAGCGATGGTGGAGTAGGACATAAAAAAGCCAGCAATGGTGGAGTAGGACATAAAAAAGCTAATGATGAAGAAGTAGAACATGAAAATCCTGTGTGGGTTTCCTAAACTCCTGTAGATGGTCCTGTCGTAATCGGAAATGGATGAAATCAATCATCGGGATGGTGATCCTGTAGTGGAAGAATTTCTAGCACTCCTGTGTGGATCGGGATCTAACTCAGCATCGTGGAATGGGTCATTTAACGTCATTTCGAATTTCTCGAACTCTGAATCGTCATGGTTTCATGATCTGTGGTCATCCGAACCTCCGCATTCTGTCAGCTCAGTTTAATAAATCCTGTCGTGGTCGAACATCCATATCGTCAGGAAGACCTCGCATCATAATCGTCGTCAAAGCTTTCAAAAGAATCATCATCGGTTTCTGGTCTGTCGTGGCATTTCTCACTCTGTCGTCGGATCAGGACATGAAAAGCTAGCGATGGTGGAGCAGGACATGAAAAAGCTAGCGATGGTGGAGTAGGACATGAAAAAGCTAGCGTGATGGTGGAGTAGGACATGAAAAAAGCTAGCGATGGTGGAGTAGGACATGAAAAAGCTAGCGATATAAGAGCAGGACATAAAAAAGCTAGCGATGGTGGAATAGGACATAAAAAGCTGCGGTGGTTGAAATGGGACATAAAAAGATAGCGATGGTGGATGGGGGACATAAAAGCTGGTGATGGTGAAGTAGGACATAAAAAAGATAGCGATGGTGGAATAGGACATAAAAAAGCTGGTGATGGTGAAGTAGGACATAAAAGATATGATGGTGGAATGGGACATAAAGCTATGGTGTGGGGTGGGACATGAAAAAGCTGGTGATGGTGGAGTAGGACATGAAAAAGCTAGCAGTAGTAGAGCAGGACATAAAAAAGCTAGCGATGGTGGAATAAGACATAAAAAAGCTAGCAATGGTGAAGAGGAACATAAAAAAGCTGCTGATGGTGGAGTAGGACATAAAAAAGATAGCAATGGCGGAGCAGGACATAAAAAAGCTGGTGATAGTGCAGCAGGACATAAAAAAGCTAGTGATGGTGGAATAAGACATAAAAAAGCTAGCAATGGTGGAGTAGGACATGAAAAAGCTAGCGATGGTGGAGCAAACTCAAATCATGTATGGTTTGTTCGAAATTACGAGTTATGATTCTTAACCCAATTTTATATTTATTTTACGACTTTGTTTTTTTGTCAATCCCAGGAAAAGACTGATCAAACCATGTTGCAATTGTCGGTTAGAAACGATCCTTTACAACAGGTATGTGGAATACGTATACTTAAAATTTTTGTCAAAGTTTATAGATTACTTGCATCCTAGCGTCATTTGAAACATTGATCCGAAAATCTAAAAAATTCAAATTTTTACAAAAAACTATGGGCTCACCATACACAAACTTTTCTAGCTGCATTGGCTAAATTAAATGCCATGTATTATGTACAATATATATTTAATTTTTACGGAAATAAAGAGGCTGCTCTTGGAGAACGGAGGTACAGTGTTTGAGGGAAAGATTATCGCCGGTGTTTTTTCTCACTCACACTCGGTGAGTGCGATACAGAAAACTAAATCAAAGGCAAACTCGAGATTTTTGTTAAAATATTTAAAATTAAGGCATCAGTTGACTGCAAATATCGTCTTCGATTATTTATGTGAGGATTTTGAAACCTTATTCAACGAGTGCGAGTGTGATTGAGTTTCTAGATAACAGGCGTATGCGAGCGTCCTTAATTTTCCCGTTCCGAAATAAATTCGTTGGCACTACTGGCGTTTACAAATCATGAAACCATTTCTGATTTTTTAAATTTACGACAAAGGGAAAGTGCAGTATTTTCTTATAACGACAGTTTATCACTAGTAAGAAACCCCGCACGTCAAGTCGGATACTGGGAACGGTTATTTCAATATGAATTTCCTTTGTTTTTGCTGCTGGTTGGATGTTTCCTATTACAGAAGATTTATTATCGACTGTTAGATCTATGAACAAATCTCAATGCATATAGAATGAAATGTTTTTGTTTTAAATTTGTAAAGTCAATGCTTTGCACGTGATTAATCTATAATCAAAGTAACTGAGTGAGTTTCTTTTGAAAGATGTCGACCAATGTCTTAACCATGATGAAGGTTTACTTTAATTTTTATATAATAGCATCATGTAATAAATAAGGGGGTGTCTTTTTTGTTTTTCGTTCCTAATCATTATATTTTGTCATTAACGTTTCACTGAGTATAGGATGGTTATTTCTACCAGAAGAAAGAATTTGAGCCAGAAAAGAGGAGAAAGTCAAAAATAGCTAACGATGGTGGAGCAGACTCGAATCATGTAGGGTTTGTTCTAAATTACGAGTTATAATTTCTAACCTAATTTTATATTTATTTTACGTCTTTTATAACTTAATTATCAATATAATATAATTGCATATAAAAATGAATCTTTAAGTAAGTGTAACACGAACCTTTGTTTTTTGTCAATCTTAGGAAAAGACTGATCAAACCATGTTGCAAGTGTCGGTTAGAAACGATCCTTTACAACAGGTATGTGGCAATACGTATACTTAAAATTTTTGTCAAAGTTTATAGATTACTTGCATCCTAGCGTCATTTGAAACATTGATCCGAAAATCTAAATAATTCAAATTTTTACAAAAAACTATGGGCTCACCATACACAAACTTTTCTAGCTGCATTGGCTAAATTAAATGCCATGTATTATGTACAATATATATTTAACTTTTACGGAAATAAAGAGGCTACTCTTGGAGAACGGAGGTACAGTGTTTGAGGGAAAGATTATCGCCGGTGTTTTTTCTCACTCACACTCGGTGAGTGCGATACAGAAAACTAAATCAAAGGCAAACTCGAGATTTTTGTTAAAATATTTAAAATTAAGGCATCAGTTGACTGCAAATATCGTCTTCGATTATTTGTGTGAGGATTTTGAAACCTTATTCAACGAGTGCGAGTGTGATTGAGTTTCTAGATAACAGGCGTATGCGAGCGTCCTTAATTTTCCCGTTCCGAAATAAATTCGTTGGCACTACTGGCGTTTACAAATCATGAAACCATTTCTGATTTTTTAAATTTACGACAAAGGGAAAGTGCAGTATTTTCTTGTACGACAGTTTATCACTAGTGAGAAACCTCGCACGTCAAGTCGTATACTGGGAACGGTTATTTCAATATGAATTTCCTTTGTTTTTGCTGCTGGTTGGATGTTTCCTATTACAGAAGATTTATTATCGACTGATAGATCTATGAACAAATCTCAATGCATATAGAATGAAATGTTTTTGTTTTAAATTTTTAAAGTCAATGCTTTGCACGTAATTAATCTATGAAATCAAAGTAACTGAGTGAGATGCCTTCGAAAGATGTCGACCAATGTCTTAAACATGATCAAAGTTTATTTCAAATTTTATATCATAGCATCTTGTAATAAATAAGGGGGTGTCTTTTTTGTTTTTTGTTCCTAATCATTATATTTTGTCATTTACGTTTCACTGAGTATAGGATGGTTATTTCTACTGGAAGAAAGAATTTAAGCCAGAAAAGAAGAGAAAGTCAAAAATAGCTAACGATGGTGGAGCAGACTCGAATCATGTAGGGTTTGTTCTAAATTACTAGTTACAATTTCTAACCTAATTTTATATTTATTTTACGACTTTTATAACTTAATTATCAATATAATATAATTGCATATAAAAATGAATCTTTAAGTAAGTGTAACACGAACCTTTGTTTTTTGTCAATCTTAGGAAAAGAATGATCAAACCATGTTGCAAGTGTCGGTTAGCAACGATCCTTTACAACAGGTATGTGGCAATACGTATACTTAAAATTTTTGTCAAAGTTTATAGATTACTTGCATCCTAGCGTCATTTGAAACATCGATCCGAAAATCTAAAAAATTCAAATTTTTACAAAAAACTATGGGCTCACCATACACAAACTTTTTTAGCTGCAGTGGTTAAATTAAATGCCATGCATTATGTACAAATTATACTTATCTTTTACGGAAATAAAGAGGCTGCTCTTGGAGAACGGATGTACAGTGTTTGAGGGAAAGATTATAGCCGGTGTTTTTTCTCACTCGCACTCGGTGAGTGCGATACAGAATACTAAATCAAAGGCAAACTCGATATTTTGCTAAATTATTTAAAATTAAGGCATCAGTGGACTGCAAGTATTGTCTTCGATTATTCATGTGGGGATTTTGAAACCTTATTCAACGAGTGCGAGTGTGAGTGAGTTTCTAGATAACAGGCGTATGCGAGCCTCCTTAATTTTCCCGTTCCGAAACAAATTCGTTGGCACTACTGGCGTTTACAAATCATGAAACCATTTCTGATTTTTTAAATTTACGACAAAGGGAAAGTGCGGTATTTTCTTGTACGGCAGTTTATCACTAGTGAAAAAAACCCGCACGTCAAGTCGGATACTGGGAACGGTTATTTCAATATGAATTTCCTTTGTTTTTGCTGCTGATTGGATGTTTCCTATTACAGAAGATTTATTATCGACTGTTAGATCTATGAACAAATCTCAATGTATATAGAATGAAATCTTCTTGTTTTAAATTTTTAAAGTCAATGCTTTGCACGTGATTAATCTATGAAATCAAAGTAACTGAGTGAGATGCCTTCGAAAGATGTCGACCAATGTCTTAAACATGATCAAAGTTTATTTCAAATTTTATATCATAGGATCTTGTAATAATTAAGGGGTGTCTTTTTTGTTTTTCGTTCCTAATCATTATATTTTGTGATTTACGTTTCACTGAGTATAGGATGGTTATTTCTACCGAAAGAAAGAACTTGAGCCAGAAAAGAGGAGAAAGTCAAAAATAGCTAACGATGGTGGAGCAGACTCGAATCATGTAGGGTTTGTTCTAAATTACGAGTTATAATTTCTAACCTAATTTTATATTTATTTTACGTCTTTTATAACTTAATTATCAATATACTATAATTGCATATAAAAATGAATCTTTAAGTAAGTGTAACACGAACCTTTGTTTTTTGTCAATCTTAGGAAAAGACTGATCAAACCATGTTGCAAGTGTCGGTTAGAAACGATCCTTTACAACAGGTATGTGGCAATACGTATACTTAAAATTTTTGTCAAAGTTTATAGATTACTTGCATCCTAGCGTCATTTGAAACATCGATCCGAAAATCTAAAAAATTCAAATTTTTACAAAAAACTATGGGCTCACCATACACAAACTTTTCTAGCTGCATTGGTTAAATTAAATGCCATGTATTATGTACAATATATATTTAACTTTTACGGAAATAAAGAGGCTGCTCTTGGAGAACGGAGATACAGTGTTTGAGGGAAAGATTATCGCCGGTGTTTTTTCTCACTCACACTCGGTGAGTGCGATACAGAAAACTAAATCAAAGGCAAACTCGAGATTTTTGTTAAAGTATTTAAAATTAAGGCATCAGTGGACTGCAAATATCGTCTTCGATTATTTATGTGCGGATTTTGAAACCTTATTCAACGAGTGCGAGTGTGAGCGAGCTTCTAGATAACAGGCGTATGCGAGCCTCCTTAATTTTCCGTTCCGAAATTAACTCGTTGGCTCTACTGGAGTTTCCAAACTTGAAACCATTTCTAATTTTATAAATTTACGACAAAGGGAAAGTGCGGTATTTTCTTGTACGGCAGTTTATCACTAGTAAGAAACCCCGCAAGTCAAGTCGGATACTGGGAACGGTTATTTCAATATGAATTTCCTTTGTTTTTGCTGCTGGTTGGATGTTTCCTATTACAGAAGATTTATTATCGACTGTTAGATCTATGAACAAATCTCAATGCATATAGAATGAAATGTTTTTGTTTTAAATTTGTAAAGTCAATGCTTTGCACGTGATTAATCTATGAAATCAAAGTAACTGAGTGAGTTGCCTTTGAAAGATGTCGATCAATGTCTTAACCATGATCAAGGTTTACTTCAATTTTTATATCATAGCATCTTGTAATAAATAAGGAAGTGTCTTTTTTGTTTTTCGTTCCTAATCATTATATGTAGTCATTTACGTTTCACTGAGTATAGGGTGGTTATTCCTACCAGAAGAAACTCTTAGAGCCAGAAAACAGGAGAAAGTCCAACAAAAAAGACAGGCATGTTTATCCAACATTTTTCAGAACAATGATGTTTCGGGTTTTGGTGAAGGGTGGGACATACAAATAGTGCGTGTAGTAAAATATTGCATAGTGGACGCTTCCAGTATTTTTCTTTTCACAACATCTTATTAAATCTGACAATTAAAATTTACGTAGTTAGGCAAAGTTTTCTTAATTTTCTTTGTATTTACGCCCAATAAGACACTAATGAAGAAGATAAATTGAGTTCTCATGTTATTTGCCTTTCTTGTTTATCCATTAATGTGGCTGAAAAATTGTAAAATATTCGTAGTTAAATTTGTCTTAAAGTTCTTACTAGTTTTATGGTGACATATGATGTATTCTCTTGCTCACTGTGCTTCAATTAATGCATGTTTGATTAGTTTGTTGCTATAGCACCGAATCCTTGGGTCGAACAAACTGAATATGTATACGTAGTTTCTAAAATAAATGGCATATAAAATACAAAATGAAAATGCTAGCAATTTAAATTGTTTAATTTTTAACAAAAATAAAATTGGACAAAATTTTTGTTAACTAATTTACCAATGTTGATGGAAATCAAGTCAATTAACCGACCCATTTCTTAAATTATAATTCTCGGCAACTAGGAATTGTTTAATAACACTCTATTAATACTTTTATTCTTGTTTTTTATCATCAGTGTCTAATAAATTAGATGTGCTGTATAAAATTTTATATTCAGAATTATATATTTCAATAAGTTTTCCTGTTTTGCTTCTTTATAAAAAGTTTGGAAATTAAATCAAAGAAATTCATTTTGTAAAACGTCCATTATGAGAACAAAGTTATTTTAAAATTTAATGAAAATTTGCCGTTTGGCAGTTTGGCTACGTTTTACTTTCTGTTCGTATATTTTTATGCTAAAGTGTAATGCAGGCTCTTCAAAACATAGAGTTAGATAATTGGTCAAAACATTTTTCCATCACTTTTTCCAGGAAATAATCCGCTAATGAAATTGATAAGCAAATTAGATGAACCAAGCTCCAATGTCGTTACAAAACTCGATCCTTCATGTCCAGCACTTTGGAGAAATCGTAAGAAAATCAACATTGAACATTTGTCCTTCAAATACCAAGAATATTCTCAAGGTGTCACAGTGCCAACAGACAAGTGTGAAGTACTTGATGAATTTTTAAAAAAGGTTATGCTTAATTTCCTTTACAATGATTTTAAATGTAATGTGCAAACGTCGCTAATTTGTTACTCACTTTTTTTAATTTTGATCTTTCTTAAAACTTTATATTTAGCTAGGTGTAGCTACTTTTTTATAAGAATTACAGTTATTGCAGGCTACTGAACAAGACAGATTTAAAATTAAATGCATGTGTGCTTTTTAACGTGTAAATAGCTATTCTAAGAACAATTAATTTATTGTTAAAATAAAACAACTAAAATGCAGAAAATATTTAATGAAAATAGACATAATAAAGTAAATGGTTTGAACTCGGGAAACCTTTTTGGTTTCGCAACGTAGATGACACAATCACAGCACTACATGCAGACGAGATTGATGACTTTCACACTCACATCAACAAACAGAACAGCCACATACAATGTACCAAAGTTGTCGAGGAAAACGGAACTCTTCCTTTTCTCCACTGTTTGGTAAAACATGACAATCAAAAACTACGAACAACAGTTTATCGCAAGCCAACACATACTGACCGACTACTAGACCAATCATCTTACAACCCTACATCACACAAAGCCACCACAATCAGAACATTAACAAGACGTGTACAAATCATATGTGATTCACCGTAATTCACAATGACAATACACAATTGACACCCACACATTACAACTAAAAACATCACACCTAAATCACACATCACAAATAAAAATAAAAAAATTTCACTTCACAATGACAATACACATTTCCTGTACACACAATACAATGACGTAAGAACCAGATAACAAATACGGCTAACCTGACGTTTACTCTTCATTGACTCTGAAGATGACTACCGCTAAGGTTGTCGAAACGTCAGTCAACAACAACAAAAACAGTCATTCTCAGTACTATACCAACCTGGACGATCTACATTTACAAACATGAAAATATGTTATGATTAGCTCAGGACTTCTCAAAATCAGTCTACAACAAGAATTTTTGTTACCGCTTTACTTTTTTAATATAAAATAAATTGAAACTTTACCCTAGCCCAGGATCACTAGTTAAAGATTTTAAAATATACATTGTACAAACTTCTATACATTGTCTTTTTCCAGGAATGTCATCTTCGTGCCCTTCAGTATCTTCCGGATATCATAAAGTTGCAACGTTTTCTTTTTGAAAAGTTTCATCGTTGCTTAGATCGAAATGAAGCTGAAAAATACACCATTGGAGACTTATATAAAAGAGGTACATCCAAACACTCTTTTTGTTTAAAAGCGTGTCTGATTTACTTTAGTAAATTGCATTACTGCTGTAGAATAGCGAGGGCTCTTGTTGTTCTATGGTTAATACATCTTTTTATAAAAATATCCTTCCTATTTTAGCTAAACTTTATTTCTTCTCTTTTTCACCTTTATTTCACGTTTTATCAACTGTATAATTTACATTGCTGACATGCATCCCTATTCTATTTTAAGTTATAAAAATTAGACTACTTTTGCTGCCAGTAAATCTCAACTTGCTGTTAAAATTAAATAACTTTTGATTTGTGATGTTAGTGAATGCTCTGTTGTATATAGCATGTCTGCTTAAACAAGTATTCATATTGTCAATATTAATTAAACAAAAGGTTTTCTTCCATTGTATTGACGTCTTACACTTAAAAATATCAATAATTCTTATACGTGTTCCTTTTCTGCTGCAACATGTCTTTGTCAAGATTATTCATCTTTCTTCGTAGCTTGCATCTAAGGTCTGTTGAATAGACAAATGTTCTCTTAGAGAGATATATAGCTAAGACGTCAAGATAAATGGAATAGAATTGAAATCATTCATAATTTTTGAAAATTGGTTTTTGTTTTTTTTTTCTCACATTTTGATCAATTAAATACCTTTTCATGGCAAAGAAATAGTCCTTAAATTTGGTTTTCTCTTTTTCGTTTGTAGACCCTGACATAAAACAGCATGTGAAGTCCTTAATCAACAGTTTCAATATGGCTTGGAAGATCATTAGATCATCTATTCCACAAGATGGTGAGTGACAAAATAAAAGTTAAGTCAAGGTTGATGCTATGTAGAGTGGATTTTCAATTTATTTATTTTATTTACTGTTTTCTTCAGTTGTTTTAATGCATGAGAGCAACAGTGGTTGACAAATCATTACCTAATTAAGTGTTAACTAATGCATTCTGTTGAGTAATATCTGAAATCACTTTGTTTGTGTTACCAAGATTTCTTTAAATAACTGCAGTTGTCTTAATTGACTTGTTAGGTCATTACGGAATTTCAAAAGAAATGAGAGATATGGATGTTATCAACACTACTCCAATTTCGATGTTATTGCCTTCGTGGAAAGGATTTGGAAAGTGTTCTTTTGCATTGACAAATTTTATGGTGTCTTTACATAACAATTTTATTGGACGATGTAAAAGCTTGTTGAAGGACGATAAAAAGTAAGATAAACTTTGCAAGATTTTGTTAGGATTCATCACTGGTGAGAATTTGATTTAATTTTATGTTTTAAGAAAAGGGCTACTTTTATTCCTCAGGCTGGTTATGTATTCTGAAAACACAAATTGCCTTATAGAGCAGGTTTTCACCCTAATAAATATTTCATTGCTATCCTTCTGTTAGCTAGATATTTTTTACATCTTTATAGTTCAGAGGAGCTATCGCTGTTGAACGTTACTAAGGGGCATTTGGTTGCCTATGATCCAGAGAGAGATTTTTTGCCGATGGTCCTGGCTCACTGTGATTATTCACTAAAAGTTGGTGAAGGAGGTGAAGAAACAGTTGTGAAGTTCAACTGGAAATCTTTAGAAAGACAACTTGTCGACAGATTTATTCGGGGAAAACCTAGAATTACATCTTTGGTTAGTTCCCTGAATTTATGTTAGTTCCATGTTATCCATGTCATACAGAAAGGGATATAAATGAATGGGATTGAGAATTTATGGTCCTGTCAGCTATTTTTGCGTTTGATTATATAAATTAAGTTTCTACTTTTCTAGGTTGAATTATTTGTGTTCAGCAAAGATATTTGTGATGGAGCTGTTTTTAAAGCGTTGAATCAAAAGATCCCTCAGGTACACTTAATAAGAAAAGTAGCTAATTTAGCTACTTTACTTATGATAAGGAAAAGCATAACAAAATATATTTTCGGTGATGTATTCAGAGTTACCTAGAATCTGCTCTGTATGAATGATCTCATTTTCAAGATTTTGGTCATTTTTTTTTAATTCCGTTATTTTTGCTAACGTCTATGGTTTCTAATTTTGTTTGTAGATTAAACTTAGTCGACCAGTGAAAGATCAGATCTTAAGTGAACTGAACCAACTCACTGATGTTTGTGACGTTCTTAAATCTCTCCACAATGTCATTGGTTTCTTATCATCTGCTGGAGGAAATCCAGGAATGCTTATCAGTGAATATATGAAATCAGCATTGAAAATTGATCCTAGAAACGGTTTAAAAAGTGGCAAGGTAGCTATACTGTGTGTAAATAAAATGAACGACTTTTGAGTTTTTGTGAAGATTAAAAACTGTATGCTAAAGTCTTTTTTATCAAACAAAAACATTCTTGAAGAGTTTTTAATGGCCTTTGTCTGCGGTTCAATTCGATATTAGTTTGTTAAATCTCAGTTTTATAATGCTTGACCGAAATTAATTCTTTAAATAGCTCTGAATTTTTAATTATCTTTGGCTTATGAGTGTCTATCCTATTTCTCAGCCGAACAGATTACTAATGTAATATAAAGAATGAAAGCAATAAAAGTACTTTGTATTCTTTCACCGTGTATTTATAAGGGTTTTTTAAATTCTCTTTTAGGCAGAGCAGATTTGTGAACTTCAACATGTTGTTGCGCTTTGGAAATTGTTATCATTAGAAAGAGCAAAAATATTGACTAGACGTAAACAGGTTTGTTCGGCCTAGATTATGTTTTGATGCAAATCGTGTAGGAATTTTTATGTGAAGGTATTAATTGCGCTAACAGATATAATAATATACGTATATTTTGTTTTTGGGACTAACAAAACCAATGTGAATCAAAAGCATATCAGTTAGCTAAACATAATGATTATTTTGCACGCGAGTCCTGCTTTTTACTTGTTTCAAATCAGCGAACTTTATCGTTAATTTAATAAAGCAACTACAGCTCATATTGACTACCATAATTAAATCAATGAAAAATATTTCTTCTGATATATTCTTCGGATATATTCAGCCCTTTAAAACAATTTATGTTGATATGGAGTTTAAGAACTGTATGGACTTTAGTGCTTAACTGTAAAATATAAGGCAAATGATGAATTGGGAATATTGAAATCTTTGTGGTATTGCTATAGGAACCATTTGACGATGTAACAGATAAGATAAAGACAGCATTGACAAGGGAAATAAAGTTTGAATTAAGTCGTGGTTTACAGAAAATCAAAATTAATCGTTTTGTTGATGAATTGTTGCAGCTTATTTTACTCTTTTTGAAAAATGCACCAGATGAACAGTTGCACTGGCCGTAAGTAAAACTATTTATCTACATAACTATTTGTTGTGCTGCTTATTTAACATCTGCTACATGTCCTTTCTTTCATACCCCAACTTTTTACTTCGTAAAGTTGGTCGATTGTTATCATTCGTTATCAAACCCTAATCGTGTCACGAAAATTGTTTGGATCAATGTCTCTTGTTTGCGTTTCATTGAAAAGTTTATTTCAAATTCTATATCATGTTAAAAATACACGCATGTTTGGAGAATACGATTTAATTTTTCTGAATTCAAGGAGTTAACTGACCACCTTGTCTAACGTGAAAACTCTTGTTGTATACAACCATTTATGTATACAAGGAAAACGACACTAAATTTATTTTACCACGTAAAACGTGTACAAAATTGTAACAAACAAGTCATGATAGAAAATGTGCAAACATTTGCAAATGTTTTTTATTTATTTTTCGGAAAATGTTAAAAGTGTGGAAACATGTCCTTTCACAGGAAAAGGGTAATACAAAATCATGAAAAAGTTTGAATTGTACAATCATCTGCTTTTTTACATTTCCAAAATTTTTCAATCAAATTTTGTCATTTTATAAGTCAATGATGCTTATTTTAACTGTATCAACAGAAAGCTAGTTGTATTCATTAGAAAAAGCTTATGTTTATATAGCTCATACCACTAAGATTTCAATTTTTGTTCTTTTTATATAGTTTAGCAGAGTACATCAACGCAATGCTTGAACAAGATGGTTGTGAAATTATTAAAGATCTCGAGGAGAGTTTACCAGATGAAGTTACTGTTGCACATTCTGTTGAAGCTTGGAAGCTTGCATGTCAGAAAAGTGATGATCACAATTCAAGAATGTATTGATTTCGTCGACAATTTTTTTATTAATGACGATAAATTGCTTGAAATTCTCTAACTTGATAATGCACATTTAATTTCAAGCAAGATTTTTTGGAAGATATATAGGTACTATTTATATCAGTTTACAAAAAGCTCATAATAAAATTACATCAAATACAGAAAACAGTTATCATTTAATTAGAAAACATTTGAGAACATTAGTAAGTAGTTAAAATACGGAATGAAAATGTTCGTTATTCTAACCAATGTATCGTTAAAAAAAGTTTCAATCTATCATGGCCTCCAATATAAGTATTAAAGTTTTGATTTTTGGGAATGTGGTTTGCAATGTGATAAACCTGTATTGTAAAGCTACAACATCAAAAGTCATATCATTTAGGGCAGAATAATTCCCCTTGATCAATGTTGACTGTTAAATTTCCAGGTAAGTTTTGTGGATAAGAAAAAAACGAAATTGAGTGTTGGTTATGACTGCTGCTTATTTAACTTCCAACAATTCCTAGTGCTACCACAGTATAGGTAATATACAGTAGTGCCACTTCGCTGTGCAACTGGCTGCTGTATATTTAATTAGTAACTGCCGTATGCCATATCGTCAATCCTATTGGTCACACAATGCAGTTTACTGGCTGCCAATATGGTAATCACATGCGAAATAAGATATGTGTGGCACGAAAAAATTCAATGGAGTGGCCCTACTGTATGTTCTATATACTGTGGGGCTACATATTTCTAAACTGTTTTACATATAAGCAGTTGTTGATGACAACTATTTTGAGGTACGCAGTCTGATTAAACCAAATCAACAAATCTCCCTGGCATTTCTGTACAACACAGTATTGTATATTTTATCAGAATACGTGGAGCTGTAAGCCGTGTTCCGAGTTCCTGTTAGTCAAACTATACGATTGACTATAGCAGCAATTATGAATGCAGTGGCCGAGTGGCTGTCATGACCTTATTTGTTTTGCCGCGACCAATGAGCACGTAAGTATTACGTAGTCAAGCCAACATGAGAATTTTAATACAATTGGCTGTGCCTGTCTAATAAAGAGCCAATCAATTACTTTGCTTTGTTTATACATAACTCAAAAAGCAATAGACGGAATCATACGCGAATAGTTTGGAAATAAGTGCACTTCGTACAAGGAGTGTTTTAGATTTTTAACTTATAATTACTAATGTAATTGTAGCATTTTCTTCGTACAAAGAGTGTTTTAGATTTTTAACTTATAATTACTAATGTAATTATAGCATTTTTTTGCGCTCATGGAGCCTTACGCTGATGGGTCAAAGCCTCTAAGCTTTCAAACAGACAAAGATGAGAATCCTAACAGAATACAATCTCAAGCAACAGCGTCTACATCATCCAATCCCAACATCGTTTACCATGATCTGGATAAAGATGTGGGTAAGTGTTTGATTTTAATTTTGTAACACCGGACTTTTCCAATTGTCATTTCTTTCAAATTGTGTATTTACCAAAATCAATTATTGCGTTTTGGAATTTCCGGTTTCGATTTCTGATTCTTATTGATCTATGAAGGATCTCAGTACTTTTATGTTACAGAAATGCAACTCAATCCCAAACACAATTTATTAAGTTGCTGTGAAACTTTACACATGCGTACAATTATAGATGGTAATTCTCTTAGTAAAATTTTTGTTTTGGTTTATTACTGTTTACGATTTATGGAATTTTTTATCGATATTCAAGTATGTCGTAGTTTGCATATTTATAATTGTCTTGATTTCAAAACAAAATTTACCGTCAAGTAAGTTCTTTAAAAACCTATGCAATAATTAGCTTTGTTAAAGTGTTATTGGGTCAAGGAACGCATTACCGTCATTTGTTACGTAGGCAACACCAAAGCAATTTTTCAGCGAAAAATTATTTATGTCTTCAGAAAGTTAATTCCTTTAGCGTTTTTCCAGTGAATGATCACGGAAATATTTGCATTACATAGGAATAGGAATCATGTGGCTTCGCTACTGTGTTTATATCTGTGATAATATTCAGGACTAAGCGATTTGTCAAACTCGATGTAGCTAACGTTTCTACAGCTCGGTGTTAGTTTTCATCACATATGACATTAATGTTGCCTGGGCTCAAACAACGGTGCTTTTAAGCCGAACTGAACGCACACCGGTGCACTGGTTGAGCAGATACGTGGCACTCGATCTACAAGTAATCATGATCCGCAAGAACCAATTTAAGTGCTTTGTCATTTTATGTCCAACTTTTAACATGATTATTTTATATATGACACATTAATATGAATCAAACTATGTACTGAACAAATATGACGAAATCATGCAGCATGAAATATTGCATAATATGCATATAATATAAAACTTGAACATGATTTACGTCATTTTGGCGCGAAAACATTGTTGCGACGACAACAACACGTAGCCGTCATCAATCTGAGTACGATGTTTCGTAAAAAATTCGTAGTGGCGACTACGATGTCTTTTTAAGCAAAGAAAGTAGGTATATTTCTTCATTCTGTAAGAAATTAGTTTACAGTACTATTTTCGAGCATGCAGGCTTTACTTTAAAACCTTTTTGAGTGCATATGTACATTTAAAAGCAAAAAAAAACACCTGTGAACTTTCATGTATTTTGTACGAAAAGTGAACAGTAAAAAAACAATAAATTAGTATAAATATATCGTACATAAAATTTAAAATAGTGAATATTTTTCACTCAAAAGTGTCCTATGTTCCCGCAAAATCAGTATTACCGATTAGTTAATATCATTATACGTCGGTGTTTTTTACAATAAAAAGGCTCGTTCTGTTGTTTATAGCTAAAACTAAATTTTTACGAAGCGACAATGACAACAAACCTCCTCGTGCCATTCCCTTACACGGTCAAACTTCGTACTCGTTGTCGTAGTCGTACTCTTGCTTAAGCTTCTTAATAGCTTGATGCAGCTGGTTAAAATAAAATGGAGACGTGAAGACTCTCGTTTGCATTGTGGTTGTAGAACATACTTCTTATTAGGGAAGCTAAATAATATGAAAAGTCGTTGAAGGAGGTAGCGTTCTGACCTGTTAGCAATGTTTTAGGAAAATTGTATATTGCTCATACATAGTAAGTATATCCAATGTTTGCCACTACTATTTGAAGAACATTTGTACCTCAGTGAGTGTTTTGCTTGCGGGTGTAGATAAAAAGCGGGCGCGGACGACGGACGCGGACGGCGGACGCAGATGTAAGACGAACGTTTGTTTGTACGAACGTCTGTTTGTTGTGGGCGTGAATTGCAAATGATGTATTGTAGGAGTTTGAGAGTAATTTAAACGAGCTTTTTCTTTCAGGATATATTTTTTGACCTCATTATTGAAAGCAATTAAACATGCATATTTCAATTTCAGTCAGTCATATAGAATGTAACGCAATGAAACCTCATTGTATTTTTTTCGTGTTTTGTCAATGGCATTTCACTCATGTTTGCCCTACGTGAGTGAGCCTTGCTTTTCCAATTTTAAAAAAGTCAATCTTATATTACTCAAATCATACGATAAAGAAAATATGTATTAATTGAAACCATAAGTAAGTAAAAGCTTTGCACAAAGAATGTCCTACAGGTAATTTCCTTTTTAAAGATAAGATAAGAATGTTTGTTGAGGTCCCACTTCTCTGCTGGTCCACATTTCTTTAACACAATTCGTTTTAACTTTAAGTCACTGAGGTAATTCTATGTGATAAAAATAATTACTTGCATCCTTAGATACGAACGGTAGTTATACTGCAAAACATGAGTCAATCCTTCTTTTATAGATGAATCGCTAGCGTTATAGTTTCTCACGCATTGCAAAAAGAAAGATTCAAGCAAATAAACAAAGAACTTGTATATAGCTCTTTAGAAATATTAACTGAAAACTATCATAGCGACAATATTTCTATTGCTATGACTGAAAGAATGCAGTGAAACAGAATTTTAAATTTGACTCTAAGTTATACGGAAATTACGACGGAAGATATCATAAAGGCTTTTTGAATGCGTTTGGCTAATATCCATCAAAAATTGTCATATAGCTACAGCAAACATGAAAAACACATCGTCTGCACTCGGAAAATACTCAAACTACCATATTTGAAAAACATGCTTTTCGTCATTTTAAAGTTGTTGTGCTTACCTCAGTTTTGACTTGTCATTAGAACCTGCGTCAGATTTCTGCCGTTTGTCAAATTTCAGAGAAGTGGGACCTCAAAAAATATTCTTATCTTATCTTTAAAAAGGAAATTACCTGTAGGACATTCTTTGCATAAGTGCATGCAAAGCTTTTACTTACTTACGGTTTCAATTAATACATATTTTCTTTATCGTATGATTTGAGTAATATAAGATTGACTTTTTTTAAAATTGGAAAAGCAAGGCTCACTCAGGTAAGGCCAACATGAGTGAAATGCCATTAACAAAACACGAAAAAAATTCAATGAGATTTCATTGCGTTACACTCTATATGACTGACTGAAATTGAAATATACATGTTTAATTGCTTTAAATAATGAGGTCAAAAATATATCCTGAAAGATAAAGCTCGTTTAAATTACTGTCAAACTCCTACAATAAATCATTTGCAATTCCCGCCAACAACAAACAGACGTTCGTACAAACAGACGTTCGTCTTACATCTGAGTCCGCCGTCCGCGCCCGCTTTTTATCTACACCCTTTTGCTTGCTACTTTTGTTCGCATTACGATATATTTCAGAAGAGAAAACACTTTGATCATAAAAGTAAGTTTTATTAAGATAAAAGAAAAACAACAAACGTTGCCCGAACGTACACATGCGCCCGCGATATATTCTTTAACATAGTGAATACTTCATAACAACGTAGTTAAGAATGTTGGGTGTAATTTAGAACAATTTTCATGTTCATGTAATTTTCATACATATTTAATATAAACGACAGCTTTTTTGAAAATAGACATGTTTCGACATCTCCCGATGCCATATTCAGTATGAGTGAAATAATAGGTGATACAGGGTTTATATGAAAGTAATATGATACATAAATTACAACAATAAAAGGAAATAAGATAAATTAATGGGGAGCGTCCGAGCGTATTATAAACTAAATATTGTATTGAATTTAAACTTGCCATTGAATGTGGGTTAGTTTCATAATGGCGTTTCTTTGATTTTAAGGGTGAATGAGGTGTCGGCAGTGTCATGATTTTTCAAAACAAGAGGGTGAATAGTTGGTTTTGCATGATTGACATTTTTAAGAAGGTGTTGGTAGATAAGAGAGTTTTTTCTGTTGTGGTATGTTGATGGATAAATGGCGAGAAGTTTCAAATAATATAGAATTACATCCAGGCGCAATTGAATTCATATACCACCATAGATTTAATTGAATCAGGGATTGGGTCTTTAAATGAGAAAAGGTTTTTGATTTTGAATGATGAAATTAGTCGAATGTCAATATCTGTACAGAAGCGTTTCATAATGTTTGTAAGTCTCATAGGTGTCGAGTAATGTCCGATTTTGTATGGTAATAAAGTATAGAGTTGTTATTTTGGAATTTTCATTTGTGTTGGAATGATCGTCGTGTCAGAGTTTCAGTGTTCAGGTTGAGGTTGTTGCTAGGTTTGTTGTCGAGATATCGTTTTACGGTCTATTAATAAAGTGAAGGGAAAGAGTTTCGTAAAAGAGTGGATGTGATGTTTTTATGTCTCGTTGAAAGCCATTGTTCGTATTGTTAAGTTTGTATGCTCTGTCGATTAGTGTGCGTATAAGTCTGGTTTTGTATGAAATTGTGTGAAACTAAAATAGTTCGTTAGAAGTCCCAGTAATGTTGGTTTGTGGTGTAGATGTTTGTACAGCTGTCGTGAGATTTTGTTAGTAAAATGTCAAGACATGGCATGATCTTGTTGTTCAGTTTCAAAAGAAAATCTAATGTTTGCGTGCTGTGTGTTAATGTAATTATAAAACTTCATGGCCTCAGTTTCGTTAGTAAAAACACAAAAATATCGTCAACGTATCTGCGGTAAATAGTGCCGTTGTAGTTGTTTACACCAGTTTCGTCATGTGACCCATGAAAATGTTAGCAAGTATGGTGCTAAGGGAGAGCCCATCGCAACAATCGTCCGTCTGGTCATAAAATTTTCCATTAAATAAAAATGCGTCTGTGCTGTTGCTATTAAAAACAGTTTGAGGTCTGTCCTGTTTATCCTGAACCTGGGGTTGTGAGGAATATTAAGTCGATTGCTAGGTTGATGGTTTCAGTAAGTGGTATGTTAGTAATAGCTTTCAACGTCGTAGGAGATGAAGAATTTGTGACAAGAAGCCGATGAGCTGAAAGATTGATAGTCATCGAGGAAAGTGAAAGAATCTTTAGTGGAGTGGTCATTGGTATGAGGGTGTTAATAGAGAACTAAGATACTTAGCTAAT